TAAAATACGATTTACTACAAACATCACATCTATATAGTTTCTCTCTGGTACATGTATGAGATTTTGTGTGTTTCTGTAGAGCAGTTTTCCTTCTAAATGATTTACTACAAACATCACATTTATAAGGCTTGTCACCCGTATGAATTCTCATGTGCGAGTGTAGATTACTACTATGTATGAATGATTTACTACAAACATCACATCTATAAGGTCTTTCACCAGTATGACTTCTCTTGTGTCCGTGTAGGTTAGTCTTCTGTGTGAATGATTTACTACAAACATCACAATTATAAGGTTTTTTTCCTGTGTGAATTCTTGTGTGCTGCTGTAGAATACCATTGGTGGTGAATGATTTACTACAAACATCACATTCAAAAGGTTTTACTTTAGTATGAATTCTCATGTGTCCGTGTAGGTTAGTCTTCAGTGTGAATGATTTACTACAAAAATCACATTTATAAGGTGTTTTTCCTGTATGAATTCTCATGTGTTGCTTTAGAATACTAATATGTCTGAATGATTTATCACAAACTGCACAACTTGTTTGATTCTGTATCTCTGTTTCATTGCACTCGCTAAAACTTTTCCTCCAATTTTTACCATGTTGTAAAACAGAATCCTCTTCTTTAACATGTATTTCACAGTGTTTTTCTAAATCACTTTCTAATCTAAATTCTTCATCGCACAAATTACACTGATAAACAGTTTCAATATCTTCAGTTTTCTCTTCTTTAACATGATAGTATTCATCTACGTCACCAGTTTTCTCTTCTTTAACATGACAATATTCATCTACATCATTAGTTATTTCTTTTTTAACATGCCAATATTCATCTACATCATCTGTTTTCTCTTCTTTAACATGGCAATATTCATCTAAATCATCAGTTTTCTCTTCTTTAACATGTATTTTTATATGTTTTTCTAAATCATCAAGTTGTTGAAAAATTTCATCACATACACCACACTGGTGAAAAGTTATAACATCATTAGTTTCCTGTAATATATAAAAGTTATAATTTCATTAGTTTCCTGTAATATATAAAAATTTTATAATATAGATTTTTTATTAAAATGAACAAAACAACATCTTTTTGGGATAAAAATTAAATACAACCGCTGATGTTTAAAAAGCGTCTGCTTGTGACCTTGTGTAAGAAAATTCTCAAATATCACCTGCAGCGGAAGTACGTAGGTGCGGTCTTCAAGTCTTGTATTGTAAGTTCAAACAGTTTAACAAATACTAAATGATCCGGACTATCTTCCATTCAAGCATTCGATTGGCTGCGGTATTCCTGGCCGAACAATGACAGTAATCTTTTTATAGATCGTTTTATTCTTGCTTTCAGAAATTAAGTTTTGTAGAGTTTTCTAAAAATATCCGTTTTTTAAAAATATGACAACCTATTTATAGCCTGGTAATTAGCCGCAGTAGTCGGAAATTTCAGGCGTTTAGTAAGCCTAAGCTTTACATGTAGTAACAACTGTCTGACAATTTATTGTCGACTAAAAACAGCTGCGGACACTGCGCAAGTGTTTTCAACATTTAACGATTCTCAAAACATTAGTTTTATTATAGTTTATTGCCGTCGGCTAATTTCCACTGCTGTATAGTGTATTTATTATCTATTTTTATGATTTTTTTTTTTGATATTTGAATTTTTTGGTGATATTCGATAAACCACTATATCGACGATTTTTGGCCACATGATATCATAGTTGGGTCTGAAAATACCATATTGCGATAAATGACTATATCGAGAATATCGTACAGCCCTATAAGCAAGGTTTTATTTTCTCACTGAAATGTTCCTTAACATTGTACAGGCATTCACAGGGACTGACATATGACTGTTTAGCAGTAAACACATGCCCAGTAAAATTGACTGGGGTCAGAAACTTTTTCAACAAAGATTCATAGGTCGGTTCGTGAACCGAACTGTTTGTGTCAGACTTCTACACTGTAACCCAGGTATCATTTAATCTAGTGTATCTAGCACTAATTTCTTTCACATTCATTCAATATCAAATCTTTGTTAAGAGATTATTAAAATTAAAAATCATTTAAAATCACCCAAAATCGTCTAATTTGTACTTGTGTCCAATTAAAAGCTGACTGATTAATTTTGATAATGAGTGTCCAATTTACAAGTATTTAATTTTCTGACCACTGTTAAAAAATTAATCATACATCAATAATCAGTTGGGTTGTTTATATTTTAACAGTGTCAGGAAATTAAACGTTTGTAAATCATACAGTCCGACACTCACTATCAAAATTAATCAGTCAGCTTTAAATTAGACACAAGTATAAATTAGATGATTTTGCATGATTTTTACAAATTTTTAAACAAAGATTTGATATTAAATGAATGTGAACAAAAATAGTGCTAAATACACAAGATTAAATGATACCCGGGTTACAGTGTTATCATGTGTGCTAAATAATGTTCTCTGTTTTTTCTTTGTCTTTTTAATGGATTAATGTGTTGTGATTGCTGTAATTTTATATTAGTTGTACTTTTGTAAAATGCCTTTGCTGTGAGCAGCTCGCTGAGTTGAATAGTCAGGGCTTAATTAATTATTATTATTTTCATTAATTAGCTACTTTAAAATATTAACCCCAATTATGAAGGTTTCATTTATTTGACAACAATCAGCATGTCTCTACTCAGTCAATGCCTGTTACTGATTTTCGTGTCTAGATTGATTGGTGAAGTTCTGCTAACGTCATTAATTTCATTAAATATTTGATAACAAATTTCTCGCAACTCACCATAATTTTATTAGCAACGGTTATTGTTTATTTATAGTTATTCAGATTGGATGACGATTCTTGGAACTGTTCCAGTCATACGATACGATCACCAAACAACCATCGATTACACCCCCCGACAGCATTCCATCGACACAAGTTTAGATCAGATTTTCGGCCTTTGACCGTTATTCTATCTCTATTTCCGGTACAGCAGAGATGGTTGTATATAGATTTCAGACCAGGACCCATCAACACGAAAAACTCATTAACGTGGAATCCCTGTGTACTGATTTTATCTGATTTGTTTTAATCTACAGGGAGTTTCATCTCTTCAGCATCTTTTATACCTGTATTGGCTGAACAGTGGCCCAGCCCAGGGGCGGATCCAGGAATTTTTGCAGGAGGGGGTTTGCCAGGTTCCTGAGACAATGTTTCTCCCCCCCCCCCCCCCGCATGGTCTCTGTCGTCATTTTGGCGTATATACATACACATTGAGCTTTTTAAACAGAGAAATTCAACACCTCGTTTGACATCAATTTTTATTATGAATTAATACAATGACATTGTGATTCAATTTCATGGATGCAAAGCATTAATTTACTAATCTTGATTAAATTTCAAGCATGCATGCGCTTTAGAACATAAGATCTGATCTATCATTCGGTCAAGTGGTGTGGTTTCGAGATTCCCAACTTGAATGTGACAAGCGGCAGGGTCCCCTGTCCAAACTCATGGGTTTTCTCCAATTTCCTTTCACTGCTAAAAAAATTGCAAGTGATTCATTGAAATAAAATCAAACCGTACGTTAGTCCCTAAATAACCTAGTCTGTGTTGAGTGAATGGAATATGGATGAATGTCATGTATGTCATAACAGTCATATGGCTAGATCTGTTTGATAAGGCCAACTGCATATTTCCTCAAGGTCACAAGATGTAAACAGGGTTAGGACTTGGGATTGTTTTCGAGAATTGTGGGTAAGGTTTAGGGTAAGACGTCTTGTGTAAGGGACAGCACCAGCACATCTTGAGGACATTATGCAGTTTTGGAGATATGGGTTTCAATATTGGTCTTGGCCTTTCGAGAATGTTGACATTTTTCAGCTTTGTTTCCCCATGTCTGTGAAGGATGGTGGACCTGGCAAGGAACAGTGTCTTGTCTGTGGTGAAGGATGGTGGACCTCGCAAGGAAGAGGGTTTTGCCTGCCGTTAAGGTACAGTGTTTGCCTGTAGTGATACAGACTTGACTCCAAAATGAAAACTAACAATAAGAAGGAATATATCCCAAACCATTGTGTAATACTAGTATGAATCATGATCTGCTATATGCTACATGAAATATGAATGTAAGCATATTGAAGGTGAAATGTATAAATTGTATAAAAAAGGCAGGTACAAACAACTACTGGTAAATGGCCTGTGTAAAAGTGAGAAACAAATTCATATCTTTTCCCTGACCAAACTTGATTCTAGGAGGTTTTCTTTCTTCTTTATTAAAACTGTGTGGTTTTCTATTTTATCATTCCTGGAGCTGCTGTGGCTCAGAGACTAAGATAGTGACTCTATAACCTGGAGCTGCTGTGGTTCACTGAGTAAGATGGTGACTCTATAACCTGGAGCTGCTGTGGTTCACTGAGTAAGATGGTGACTCTATAACCTGGAGGTTTTCAGGATCCCCTCGTCAGTGATGTAGGACAGAGGACCTGAAAAGAAACCGAGTCTAGTCATTGATACGCACGTAAAAGATCCCCCGACAGTTGGACATCAAGCACACTGTATGATGTAAGCACATCTTCGTTAGCTCATTTTATTTCATCAGTCTGACACGGAGGGTCTGACAAGGACAGCTGTCTAGTAGTTCGGAGGGAACGAAAAAAAACTGAGACCCCGTGTATACATTGGCATGCATGTAAAGATCCCTTGGCAGTTGGAATTTGATATAAGAGTAGGCCATAGCGCCGCTGCCCGGGCAAAATTTCCCTTATAGCACACTGTATGGCGTATGCCCATCTTCATTAACGTAGGACGTTAAACCCCATTTCATTTCATTTGTAATGGCTGGGACAAAGAAAATTTATTACCACTAAACAAATTTCATGACCATATATCATAACAATATAATATAACAATATGTTATAATGAATATTAATGATGTGCATCAGATAATACATACATATATGGTAATGATGGAACTAATGAATATTAACAATGTGTATAAGATAATGCATATAAGGTAATGCTGGAACTAATGAATATTAATGATGTGTATAAGATAATACATATAATGTACTGATGGAATTCAAGAATATTAAATGTGTCTTTATTATGAAGGCTCTTATAGTAACACAATTATAAGGTATGGAGCAGAATTGTTGTCATATTAAACTAGACCTGGATATACCAGTCTCTGAAATTATATAAATACACAGCTAAACCCACATGATAATATTCACAGCTAGGTCCAATATACCAGTCTCTCACAGATTTACAACAAACATCACACTTGAAAGTTTTTTCTCGTGTATAAATTTGAATGTAACTTTGTAGACCGTAAATTTGACTAAATGATTTACAACAAACATCACATTTATATGTTTTTTTCTCGGGTATGTGTTCTTGTATGTCTTTGTAATTCAGCTGGCCGGGAAAATGATTTACTACAAACATCGCATTTGTAATGTTTTACTCCAGAATGAATTCTCATGTGTTTCTGCAAAGTATCATTCTGAGTAAATGATTTACCACAAACATCACATTTATAAGGTTTTTGTTTAGTATGAATTCTTGTGTGTGATTGTAGATTACAAAGCTGAGTAAATGATTTATTACAAACATCACACTTATAAGGTTTTTCACCAGTATGAATTCTCATGTGTGCCTGCAAAGTTTCATTCTGAGCAAATGATTTACCACAAACATCACATTTATAAGGTTTTTGTTTAGTATGAATTCTCATGTGTCTCTTTAGATTACCACTTAAAGTGAATGATTTACCACAAACATCACATTTATAAGGAGTTTCTCCTGTTTGCCCCTGTTGACTAACATGTATTTCTCCAGTGTGAATTCTCATGTGTGACTGTAGGGTATCATTCTGAATAAATGATTCACCACAAACATCACATTTATAAGGAGTTTCTCCTGTTTGCCCCTGTTGACTAACATGTTTTTCACCAGTATGAATTCTCATGTGTGACTGTAGGGTTTCATTCTGAATAAATGATTCACCACAAACATCACATTTATAAGTTTTCCTGTGTGATTGTAGATTACCACTATCAGTGCAAGATTTGCTACAAACATCCCATTTATAAGTTATTTCACCTGTATGTGTCCTCACCTGGATCTGTAGATTACTGTTAGCTTGAAATTGGCTTTTCCGCATGAATGATTTACTACAAACATCACATTTATAAGGGTTTTCACCTGTATGAGTACTTGTATCTGCTTGAAGCTGGTCTTTCCGGCCAAAATTCTTCTCCCAAATTTTACCATGTTGTAAAACAGAATCCTCTTCTTTAACATGTATTTCACAGTGTTTTTCTAAATCAATGTCAGATTTAAATTCTTCATCACATAAATTACACTGATAAACAGTTTCAATATCATCAGTTTTCTCTTCTTTAACATGACAATATCCATCTACATCATCCGTTTTCTCTTCTGTAACATGACAGTATTCATCTACATCATCTGTTTTCTCTTCTTTAACATGACAACATTCATTTACATCATCAGTTTTCTCTTCTTTAACGTGTATTTTATTGTGTTTTTCAAAATGGTCATATTGTTGGAAAATCTCATCACATACAACACACTGATGAAAAGTTATAACATCATTAGTTTCCTGCAATATATAAAAGTTATAACATCATTAGTTTCCTGTAATATATAATTACTAGCAGGATACCCGGCCTCGCTCGGGGGTCATAACTCCGAAACCGGAAGTGGTAGACTAACACCACCTGGCCTATGTTACTCCTATACCCCAAATTTCAGACTCGGGGCAGACCTAGTGTAGCCGCCAACCCCGAACAGACCGGCTTCACTCGGGGGTCATAACTCCGAAACCGGAAGTGGTAGACTAACGCCACCTGGCCTATGTTACTCCCCGGTCCGAGCTACCCCTATACCCCAAATTTCAGACTCTGGGCAGACCTAGTGTAGCCACCAACCCTGAACAGACAGACAGACAGACAAACGACAGTCACAAATATATATATAGATTGATAAAAGTCATTACATCAGTTTAAAACCTAAATTTTGGTACCATACTAGTTCAAAACTTGACACGTTATTGAAAAGTAACATATTTGGCATTATTCAATTTATTTTTTCGATATGACATCAGTAAAAAGTGATAACTTGTCAGACATAGAGTGATAGTAAAGATACAGAAAATTCTGTCATCTACTGGTGTTACGCTTACCACTTTCATGGAGTACTATTATATCTGAATACTAAATTAAATTCTATGCATGGAATAACTACACTGGAGATCACATAGCAAGCCCCGTCTTTAAAAGTTGTGATTTCTACCTGGGTAGGTCTATTTGATTTTTACCTGGGTAAGTGTCCTATTTCATTTCTACCTGGGTAGGTCTATTTCCTCTTTGATTTCTACCTGTGTATGTCTATTTGATTTCTACCTGGGTAGGTCCTATTTGATTTCTACCTGGTAGGTCCTATTTGATTTCTACCTGGGTAGGTCCTATTTGATTTCTACCTGGTAGGTCCTATTTGATTTCTACCTGGCTTTTTGTGTATACTTGAGACGATACTGACGAAATGAAATGAAATGAGTTTTAACGTCCTACTGTTCTGCTCCTATACTGGGCTAATGAAGACGGGCATACGCCATACAGTGTGCTATGAGGGAAATTTTGCCCGGGCAGCGGCAATATCGCCTACTCTTATATCGAATTCCAACTGCCAGGTGTTCTTTTACGTGCATTCCAATATATACGCGGGACCTCGGTTTTTCGTATCATCCGAAGGACTAGACAGCTGTCCTTGTCAGGCCCTGCATAACTGACAAGGGGGAACCACGCCGGAAAATCTGGATGAACTTTCTCAGCCAATGCAGGGATCGAACACCCGACCTCCAGGCTAGCGAGCCAGCGTCTTACCCACTTAGCCACGTGACGATAGTGACAGGACAGTATTTATATAAAGACATTGAGACACCACAAACAACAAAGGTACATCAGATGAGAGAGAGAGAGAGAGAGAGAGAGAGAGAGAGAGAGAGAGGTTTAAGTCGACTCACACAAACTAGGTCATTTCAGGACTAACATATGGTTCAATTTTATTTCAATAATTTGCTTGCACATAGGGGTCTTTAGCCATGGGAGGACACCGGAGGACTCGGAGAAAACCCACAAGGTTGGACAGGCGACCCTGCTCCTTGTCACGTACAACCGGGGAATCGAAACCCCGCCAGTTGACTCAATGACAGACCTTACGATACAGCGCACACATGCTAACCATTCAGCCATCCACCCCCCAAGTTGGGATGTCTACCTTGATTTCTATCTACCTGTACATGTGTAGGTGTGTATCTGTGTAGGTGTGTACCTGTGTAAGTCAATACCTGTATAGTTGTAATTTCAATCTTTCCACAGAGAAAATATTACCAGAGTGATTACTGCTTCATTTGCATAAAAAGTAGGTCGCACTTTGCATCTTGAGGTTTGCCTGTAAAGTCAGCATTCAAACGGTTATTACAACGCTTAGTCAAAATTTCAATTATCTAAAACATTTTTTAGTCTTCATGAAATCATTTAAATTCTGGATGTGATGTAGAAAATAAAGATCTAAAAGATACCTTTTCCTGTCGGTCAATTTACTTTGACAAAAAAGCGCTCTTAGTCGGTGATCAGTAGGACATGAATATAATGGGTTTTTTCACCAATGTTATCATCATATTGCGGAGTTCGAGCTATTCATTATTTTTCCAGAAGTGTGTTATACTCAACAAAAGTGGCTAAAATTCGGCCTAACATGTCTATTTATTCAGTTTTAACACTGTTAAACACTTTCAGGCAAAACTTCTCTAGCACAACGATTCTTCACCATACAAGACTAAATTACGAAAGTCCCATTAAAATCTGCTGACTGAACTCTTATTGCTTTCTTCGAATTTTGCATGGTCGTACATCGGACAAGCTCTTAACTATAATACAGTACTTGTATTATAAAAAAAAAAAAAAATATTAAAGATGGGTTCCCGCGTACAAACTGGGTGATTTAATGGTATATATGGACTAAAAACATATTCAAACTAATTAATTTGTCATAATTATGCTTCAAATCCTTCTCAAACATTGTAATTGCGAAGGAATGCCCTGCTATTAAAATTCGATCACGTCTTGGAAATCAGAGGAGAATTTATTGCATACATAAGACGATGTTGTCTTTAATCGCTTACTATTTATTACAAATATCGAATCCTAATGAAATTCTCGGATTATCCATTACCCGCGTCTTTTTCCGTCATTTTTATTTCAGAAAGTGTTGTACGTCTAACTCTTCATAAAGTTTATCAACTTGTACATCAAGCGCTCAATGTTCGCGTGTGACCTTTGACATCACGCATGCAGAAATTTTTAATCATCGGGTTGTTGATTAGGGGAACCCTTACATTTTTGTCCTGTATACGCTCCATGAGTGTTTTTCGGGGAATCCAGTATTTTTCTAGTAAGATTGGATATCTCTACTTTCCATATATACCAAAATTGCCATACTTTTATTGGAAATAACCACCCGATAAATACTTTTCTGGGAACCCATCTTTAAATAAATGATCATGACCTCACCATTATTTTGTTAACAATTTCTGCTGTCTATTTGTGAAGCTGCTGTGCGAATGAATGATGACTGTATATAATAAAAACACAACACAGGATTGCTGACCTATCTCTTTCTACCATTGCAAATCAACGCGTTTCCGGTAGAAGGTTGTATACATGATATAGTCCGAGAATTCTCCAACCCGAATAGCTCACAATTGAAATTATATTGTTTAGATATCAGGGCGTTTAGTATGAATAGGTGGATTGTCGTCTCTGGATTACCAGTAGTTCGGCTCTGAACGTAGGTCTCATTACACTCGCCCCATAGAGCTGAACTAGATTACCAGAAGCTGCGATGTTCACTATATACCAAAGCACCGAACATTGCTTAGAAAACATGTCCTATTTTTGAAGACTCGAGGAATTTATGTAGGCCTAAATAAAACGGAAACCCAAATAAAAGGAAAAAAAGAGTTTAATATTGTTTTTAGGTTTCTTTTTAAAGTGTTGATTAGATGGTACAGATATTTAGCCCTTTTAAAGCTATATTCCCCTAGATCCATTCAATCTATATTACCCCGGCCAGCTACTCCTAAATAAAACGACACCCAAATAAAAGGAAAAAAAGAGTTTAATATTGATTTTAGGTTTCTTTTTAAAGTGTTGATTAGATGGTACAGATATTTAGCCCCTTTAAAGCTATATTCCCCTAGATTCATTCAATCTATATTACCCCGGCCAGCTACTTTTAAAGCTATATTACCCCAGCTATTTTAAAGCTATATTACCTTAGATCCATTCAATCTATATTACTTCGGCCAGCTACTTTTAAAGCTATATTACCATAGCTATTTTAAAGCTAAATTAACTCAGCTATTTTAAAACTATATTATATTAGATCCATTAAAGCTATATTATCTCAGCTATACTAAAGATACATGTTTAGCTACTTTAAAGTTATATTACCTTAGCTACTTTAAAGAAATATTACCTTAGATCATTTAGAGCTATAGCTACTTGACAGTTACCATAGCTACTTAAAAGTTATATTACCATAGCTACTGTAAAGCTATATTACCATAGTTACTGTGAAGCTACATTATCATAGCCCCGTTAGAGATACTTTAAAGTTACCACAGCTACTTTAAAGTTATATTACCAAAGCTATTAAAAAGCTACATTACCATAGTTACTGTACAGCTACATCACCATAACCCTGTTAAAGTTACTATTTTAAAGCTATATTACCATAGCTACTTTAGAGCTATAATTTAAAGCTATATATTGGTTTATATATGAATTACAAAAATCGTTACAAGCAGTAGAAGTAATTACAAAGTGACATTCGTCTTCGATGGTATTAGTATGGTATAACTTACAAAGTCTTTGTTTGTATGGAATCTGTTTCCATTTACCCAGCAGAACCATAAGATTGTGGCTACCTATTCTAAGTCTAAATAGAGATTTGACATATTTTTGGTCGATTGTCAAATTAATTAGGTCTCTTTCCACTTATAGAGTTAAATTATATTCTCATTGTTTTCAAATTTGTTTTCAAGTCTGTATCACTACAGGCCCGGACAGCCCCCGGATCCATTCACTTTTTTTGAATTGTTCGTGTGTATGCTATTTCTGCGTATTGTGTCTTGTCCATATATTTGATTTTTTTGTGAATCATGTGTTGTGCAGACCCCCTGCACTTACTATTGAATAGTATGGCAATCTGCTATTATTTGACTTATTATATATAATGCCATTCTTGTTGTCCAATATCCTGTATCCTTCGATTTACCAACTGATTGAGACAGTCAAATATACCCAAAGCCGTAGCGAAATAATAAAACTTTTATGCATGATGCCAAATTTTGTCTACCATTATGATTACGATTATACAACAGTTTGTAAATCTGTTTCGGGAATCTGGTGTCTTCCATAGTCAATAATTTCAGCCAGTATTTGATACATTTAACAAAGTATATAGTATATAATGGATAACGCCCAGTTTCTCCTAATACAGCTGATGTACATGAATGTTGTGGCAATTTCAATATATACCTCAGAATTGTACGTTTTCTATTACTTGAGAGTATTCAAACCCTCATACTTCTACACCAGAGAGAGAGAGAGAGAGAAATAGGGTTTAAGTCAACTCAACACAAACTAGGTTATTTCGGGACTAACATATTGTTTAATTTCATTTCTATAATTCGCTTGCTCGTAGGGGTCTTTAGCAGTGGGAGGAAACCGGAGGACCCGGAGAAAACCCACGAGGTTGGACAGGTGACCCTACTCCTTGTCACATACAACCGGGGAATCGAAACCCCACCAGTTGACTCAATGACAGACTGTATGATATAGCACGCATGCTAACTATTCGGCAATCCAACTCCCCTACTTCAGCACTGGAGGTTATAATCGAGAGAGAGAGAGAGAGAAATGGGGTTTAATGTCCACTCGACACAAACTAGGTCATTTCGGGACTAACACATGGTTTAATTTTATATCAATAATTCGCTTGTGCTGAGGGGTCTTTAGCAGTGGGAGGAAACCGGAGGACCCGTGGAAAACCCACGAGGTTGGACAGGCGACCCTACTCCTTGTCATGTACAACTGGGGATTTGAAACCACGCCAATGGACTCAATGACAGGTCTTATGATACAGCGCGCACGTGCTAACCACTCGACCACCCAACCTCCCGGTTATAATCGAAATAACCATTTTATCGAATATGTTAATCATATGATAGGCCATTACATTTCTAATTCAGGCATTTTAAGATTGATAAAACTTTTTCAGGATGCAAGGTCAGAGAGAGAAAGTGCTTAATGTCCACTTGACACAAACTAGGTCATTTTGGGATTAACACATGGTTAAATTTTTATTTCAATATTTTGGTTGCGGGAAGGAGTCTTTAGCAATGGGAGGAACCTGGAGGACCCGTAGAAAACCCACGAGGTTGGACAGGTGACCCTACTCCTTGTCACATACAACCGGGGAATCGAAACCACGCCAGTTGACTCAATGACAGACTTTGTGATAAAGCGCACACATGCTAACCATTCAGCCATCCAACTCCCCAAGGGACTAACATGGTTCAATATTATTTCAATAATTCACTTGTGCTAAGGGGTCTTTAGCAGTGGGAGGAAACAGGCGACCCTACTCGTTGTCACATACAAGCGAGGAATCGAAATCACACCACTTGACCCAATGACAGACCTTATGATCCAACGTGCTAACCATTCGGACATCATACCCGCTTGTTTATCTTATAATGCTGCTATTTTGTTGGTTTAAATATTTAATTTAATAAGAGTAGCTATGAAGACCTGGTTATCCCAGGTGTCAGTGACTAGTTTCGTTCGTATTGAACTCTTCAGACTGATTGGACTTGATGTTGTTGTTGTTTACTATAGAGGAATCACATGGCTAAGTGGGTAAGACGCTGGCTCGCTAGCCTGGAGGTCGGGTGTTCGATCCCTGCATTGGCTTAGAAAATTCATCCTGATTTTCCGGCGTGGTTTCCCCTTGTCAGTGATGCAGGAGGGAGGGCCTGACAAGGACAGCTGTCTAGTCGTTCAGATGGGACGAAAAACCCAGGTCCTATGTACACATTGGGGTGCACGTAAAAGATCCCTTGGCAGTTGGAATTCGATATGAGAGTAGGCCGTAGCGCCGCTGCCCGGGCAAAATGTCCCTCATAGCACACTGTATGGCATATGCCCCTCTTCATTAGCCCAGGTTAGGAGCAGAACAGTAGAACGTTAAATCCCATTACTACAGATTTAACATCCAATACAATAAATATGATATTATGGACAGTTGATTGGACTCTCGTGGCAGGCATTTTTATTCATACTGTTCCGAAACCCGGGTGGGGATTCCATGGTTACTAATTGGCGGGCGGGGTTATCGGGGTTGCCCTCTTGGCGGGGTATGCAAATTTGTACAAAGGTCAGTAGCTTGCTTATATTTTATTTAATCAGAGTTAAACACAAACATTGGATATAAATAAACAAGCAAAACTCTATTCAACAGTTTGTTTAAAGGACAATATTGGTGTCAGTCATTATAAAATATGTGATAGAACTGGTTAAATACATCCCAAATATAACTTTAACACAGAGATCATTGCTACGGGAGATGTGTAACAAGCACGTGAAGAAACGGGAAGTGACGACAAACATGACAAACACGAGTTATCCTACTATATAACTGATTGAAGCAACAAGCGGTAACAGACGCGATCGAATTTCATTTCACTGATATTTCAGTTGAAGATGAAAAGCTATTATATGAGACGGTGAGAGTATATCTGACAATTCAAAAAAAGAATTGGCTGTCATTAGATAAAAGATAACGAACATATTAGAAAAAGTCTGTGCATTACCATGTTTTTATTAAGAACAGAATGAATAAAAAGGAGGGAATGCACAGGATTTTTCTTTTTTTCTCGTTTTCCCTTATCTAGTGACAGCCAATTCTATTTTTGAATTGTGAGATACCCTCTCACCGTCCCATATAATAACTTTTCAACTTCAACGGAATTATCAGTGAAATGAAATTCGATCATTTGTCTGTTATCGCTTGTTACATCAGTCAGATACGTAGAAGGATAACTCGTGTTTGTCATCACTTCCCGTTTCTTCACGTGCCTGCTACACATCTCCCGTAGCAATGATCTCTGTGTTAAAATTATATTTGGAATGTATTTAACCAGTTCTATCACATATGTTATTATGACGGACACCAATATTGTCCTTTAAACATACATTATATAAGAGCTAAATCTGTCTATTGCAGGTCTTTCTTTAGGCCTGAAATGTTATATAAACTATTAATTAGACATTTATTAACAAAAGAAGACCATAATCAACTCTTGATGGCATCAGATACATGTACTTGATATTTTAACTAGATCAGAACGGTTCCCCATTTAAAAATGGGAAAGATAAGTCTTGAATATACCCGTGCCCTGTTTATCCCTATACACACATCTTGTCAAAACTACAATGACAACTTGGCTCAGAATGAAGTAGTTGTCTAGTTGTTCGGATGGGACAAAAAAACGAGGTCCTGTGTACACGTAAAAAAAACCTTGACAGTTGGAATTTGATATAAGACTAAGAGTGGGCTGTAGTGCCGCTGTCCGGGCAAAATTTCCCTCATAGTACACTGTATGGCGTATGCCTGTCTTCATAAGCCCAGTTCGAAGAAGAACAGTCGGATGTTAAACCCTATTTCATTTCATTTTCATTTCACAGTCTTATTAAGTTCGTTGTTCTGGGAATATAAACTCTACTTTAATATTTTACAATTGATTCAATCTTGCCTGAACTGTACAGGGATTCTTCCACCCACCATCAGGACTATAGATCCGATCTTGCCTGAATTGTACAGATATTCTTCCACCCAACATCAGGACTATAGATCCGATCTTGCCTGAACTGTACAGATATTCTTCCACCTATCGTCAGTACGGTTGATCCGATCTTGCCTGAACTGTACAGGGATTCTTCCACCAATCGTCAGGACTTTTAGTAAAAAGTTAATTCATCATAGTCTTGAATTTTATTAATATTCTTATACAGTACTGTTACACATGTATATATCCTCTATAATATCAATATTCTCTCCTCTAAGTATATACTGAGAACTACTAAGGGGTTAATCTATGCACAGACTTTATAGAAATCTATGTTTGGGGTGTTATTTGCACGTCTATCGAACGAAAATTAATTTCCCATCTATTACTCAGCATTACCACGTTAAAATTGTAAATAAGGTGCGTTAATTAACAAGTGTGTGATTTACTGTCAATATTCTCTTGGTAAATCATAAATCATATAAGTAAATACTGTTAAAATTGTAAATAACGTGCGTTAATTAATAAATGATAAAAGTAGATACTGTTAGATGTTACTATAAATAGTAATTATCAGGATATTCTATTTATAGATGTACATGTATCTGGTCACTTGTGGGCCTGGAAATAACGGCTTTTGATGTACCTGACAAAATGTCAGGCACTAATGAAATAGTACCTGGCATTTTCAACTTAGTGCCAGACATGTATTAATAATATCAACAAAAAAGACAAATCAGTGCCAGACAAAGTGACAGGCACCAGAGGTTTAGTGCCTGACATAGCCTGAATCTGCGCCTGACATTGTCTGTGACAGGTGCCTTATTTCCAGGCTTCAGTCAACTGGTCTCTAAAGGCATTTCCTAAATGATTTAACACAAAAATTACATTTGTAGATTAAAATTCTGAATAATAAAATCACAAACAGTGAATGATTTTGATCTTATAAATATGAAGAGTTCCACTTTGACTAAATGATTTAAAAGTTTTTGGGGTTTTTTTTTCAGTATGAATTCTCATGTGTCTCTGTAGATTACCACTCAGAGTAAATGATTTTCTACAAACATCACAATTATGAGGTTTTCCACCTGTATGTGTTCACCTGCGCTTCTGTAGACTACTACTTACGGCAAAAGATTTACTACAAAAATCACATTTATATAATTTTTCACACCTAAACATTTTTTCTGGTATGAATTTTCATGTGTCTCTGTAGATGGCTATTATTAGTAAAATATTTGCTACAAACATTACATTCAAAAGTTTTTTCATCCGTAACTATAGTATGAATTTTCATGTGTCTCTGAAGATGGCTATTATTAGTAAAATATTTACTACAAACATCACACTCAAAAGTTTTTTCATCAGTAGGATTATGAACTCTCATGTGATGCACTAAATCACACTTTTCGCCAAAGGATTTACCACAAACATCACAGGTATATGGTTTTTCAGTGTGAACTTTCATGTGCCTCTGTAGACTACTATTAGTAGTAAATGATTTACTACATTCATCGCATTTATACGGTTTTTCGTCAATATGGGTTCGCATATGTTGCACTAAATTCCCCGTTTCTCGGAAAGATTTCCCACAAACCCCACAAGCATAGGGTTTCTCTCCGGAATGCAATCCAAAATGTCTCTTAAGATCGCGGTTCTGGTTAAATGATTTACCACAAACATCACATTTAAAGGGTTTTACGCCGGTGTGCGTCTTCATGTGTGTGGATCGAGAACCTGATTGTCTGAATGATTTATCACAAACATCACATTTATATTTTTTTTCCCCTGTGTGGGTGATGATGTGCCGCTGTAGAGTGCAATTGTTCGTGAATGATTTACCACAAACATAACATTCGAACGGCTTCTCACCCGTATGGATTCTCATGTGAATCTTCAGATAATCTTTCTTAGTAAATGACTTGCTACAAACATCACATTTTACAGGTTTTGGCTCCAGTATGAATTTTCTCCCTCGTTTACCAGGCTGCAAATCAGACTTTGCTGAATGAACATGCATTTCAGAATGTTTCACTAGATCAGTTTCTAATGTGAATAATTTCTCACACAAACTACACTGATAGAAACCTACATCATCAGTTTTCTCTTCTTCAGCATCTGCATCAGTTTTGTTTTCTTCAAATTGAACATGACAATATTCATCTCCATCATCCGTTTTCTCTTCTGTAACATGATAATATTCATCTCCATCATCCGTTTTCTCTTCTGTAACATGATAATATTCATCTCCATCATCCGTTTTCTCTTCTGTAACATGACAATATTCATCTACATCATCAGTTTTCTCTTCTTTAACATGACAATATTCATCTACATCATCAGTTTTATCTTCTTTAACATGACAATATTCATCTTCTTCATCGGTTTTCTCATCTTTAACATGTATTTTATTGTGTTTTTCTAAATCATCATATTGCTGGAAAATCTCATCACATACAACACACTGGTGAAGAGTTTTAACATTATTAGTTGCCTGTAATAGATAAAATTTATAACATCATTAGTTTCCTGTAATATATAAAAGTTATAACATCATTAGTTTCCTGTAATATACTCTTCAAAAAAAAACTAGGGGATATTCAGAAACAATACAAAACTGCGGAAATGCACTGCTGTTAATAACAGGTCAATTGACTACACATGAACATAAACAGTTCATATGGGCGGCTTATCTGAAGGCCCCATTTCCCTCGCAAAGAGATACACTGTCAAAAGTGAAAATAGACGTTTTTGATTTTTGTCTTAATAATGAGTAATTAATTGCTCCACCAATCCAATCCTCAGACATTCAGCAATTCGTCGTGGCATGCTCCTAATCAACCGTCCAATCACGATTTGGGGCAATAAGTTTTGATATCATTAGTTTCCACTAACTAAGTTGCAATGAGGAAGTTTTAAAAATTGAGTTATTATTTTCACATTCTCCATCTCAATGCCTTCAAAATGATATTTGGTTTCTTTAAATCAGACCAAAATTGACTGAGGTGTGTCCGTTCGCAGCTACCCAAGCAAGGAAAGTGAGTTTTGAGAAAAAGCAAGTTCATGTAGCAACCATGTTGTTTATTTGCTTTTATGTCGTTTGATATTTTTTTCTATAGGTTTTCAGACATGCTGAAGACGAAAATCATAGTAAAAATTTGACACGAAATTTGTTTTATATAAAACCAGCGGCTGCCAGGCAGGATACGCCCACATTTTCGAGAGATGGATAGAGAACAAGCTAAAAAGAAGTGATTTTTCCTACAATCAAGGGCCATAATTCAGGAAGTTACAGTCCGATATGCGCGAATATTGAAAGGAACCGAGATCTTTAGGTTATAAACTTACATTTCAAGTTTCAACAAAATCGGATAAAAATTGTGACCTCTATAGGGTCCACAAGCTAAAAACGTGATTTTTCGTACAAACGGGGGCCATAATCCATGAAGTTTCGAACCGATACATGTCAATATAGAAAGCAACCAAGATCTTTTGAAGATAAACCTATATTTCAAGTTATGTCAAAATCGGATAAGAATTGTGACCTGTAGAGTGTCCACAAAGAAATTGTGGACGGACGGACGGACGGACAGGGGCGACGACAATATATGTCCACATTAAAATGTGGGCGTATAATAAAATGCCTAGAATAGCTACCGATGAGGCAGCTGTCATGGTGGGTTCTAAGAGTTGTATTGTTAATAGGTTGAAGGCATTAAATCCAGTTATTTTGGGCACTCACTGTATTGCACACAGACTGGCACTTGGTTCAAGTGGTGTTGCGGATCAGGTACCTGAGCTCATTAACCTGTTAAGCGTGACGTTTTTAAAACGTTAACTACCCCTATTGTGTAATTAATTTGACAAAGAACTATGTTCTAAGAATAGGTTGGCGAAAATACCTCCAAGGCATTATATTACGCCCTACACACAGTGAGTGGCAGTTGTCCAGGACGTAGTATAACGTCCTAGACATGCTGTGATCGTGGGGGAATTCCTAAGGGATGACAATCGAGTACAAACCGGATGTTTACAGTCCGATGATGTAGGTCATTCTTCCGTAGTCGGTAGTAATAAACGGAAATCTTCCGCAAAGGTGCCAAAAAAGGCTTGTAAATCTCGTAAACGAGAATCTAACGATAATAATAATGCAGTTGGTGAAGTTTCTTTTCAATCACCACTTATTTCACTGTATCCAGATCCAGTTGCTATAAGTCAACATAATAAGACAATTGATAATAAAAATGCCAACAGTAACAATAAGGAAGGTTACCCTAATATTAGTAGTGGTAATAAATACTTTAATAAAGCTAATAAAAAGTCTGCAACTAATAATGTCGTTACGACAAAACGAGCCGTTACGGCCACTGCGATAGACTTTAACGGTGCAACTGCATGTACCAGTAATACTGACAATTTAAATTACACTAATAGTAATAATACTAGGCCAACTCCTAATAATAATGTTCAAGATTTTAATAACATACATTTTCCTTCAAGGCATACTAATGATAGTATTTTAGTTGATAAAAATGAGTTTGAGTCTCTTCAGAATCAGGTCTCTTTGATGTCCAATTATCTGGGTTTAAGTAATAATCCGTCTTTTCAACAATACAATCTCATGATGTTCTTGCTCATCAGTCAACGTCAGTTAATAGGCCCATTTCACAGGGGTATAAAGACAAGTTACCTGTTTATCAGGATGATCTGGATTTTAATAAAAACAGTGTGGATAACTTTGAACCGGTATTAGATATTGTAGATCCTCAAAGTCTTTATGATGAATTTATGGAGGAAACACAAGAACCTGAAGTGGATATCCCCAAAATTTTTCAGGGTGATGATATATTTAATGATCCCGTCATTGAGTCTGTTCTCAGCTTGATTACTCAAGCTACAAATAAAAAGGTGGAGATAGAGAAACTAAATATCCTCTGCCGGTAAATTGCAAGAGATTGTTGCCACCCTTGGTGGATCAGGACATTTGGCATGTCTTGCCCAGAGCGGCTCAAACCCAGGACTCCTCAATACAAGAAGTTCAGAAACTCGTGGGTCTGGGTTTATCCCCTTTGATTCCGCTTTTGAATAAAAATATCGATACTGAGGTCAAGTCCTCGATAATAGACTCTATTATAACTTTAGGGAATGCGCACTTAGAGTTGTCATTAAAGTGTAGATTATTTCTTCTCAAGTATCTCAGTAAAAAGTACCATCCTCTTTGTTCTATTACGAGAACTGTCGGGGAAACATTATTTGGCCCTGATGTAGCTAACAGGATCAGAGAGATTGATCAATCAAATAGGATCCACAATTCATTTTCTAATAAGGTCGTGTTTAGAGGTAATGGCAGGAGATCTTTTTTAGGCCAATGCTTCAGGCGCCAAGTACAGCCACCGGATCGTTCCGGCAAGACTTTCAGGGGCTGTCCCTTTTCCAACAAGGGAAGGGCGAGAGGCAGGTTCCCTCGCTAAAACTACTATTAGATGTGGTAAGTAATACTAAAACATTTTATGCAGGACAAATTTCAAAGTTTTATAAAAACTGGGCCACTATTACCTCAGATCAATGGGTGTTGGATATTGTTAGTGGATATAGAATTGACATTATTTCAACTCCTGTTCAGGTGGCTATTCCAAATACCCCACCTTTTAATCTGGAACAGATGTCTTTAATAGACGAGGAAGTCAATAAAATGGTTATTAAAAAAACATTAATTATGTGTCAGCATCAGACTGTTCTGGTCAGTTTATTTCCAATATTCTTCTTGTTCTTAAAAAAATTGGTGATTTTAGACCAGTTATAAATTTAAAGAAATTAAATGAATTTGTTGTCTACCCTATCCAGACCCTTTTTGTTTAGCATGTGATGCTTTTTCAATATCTTGGTCAAAATATAAACCATATCTTTTTCCACCTTTCAGCATGATATCAAGGGTTCTGGCAAAGGTAACCCAAGACAGAGTATACCAAGCAGTTATAATCATTCCAGGGTGGTCAACTCAGGTGTGGTATCCGATTTTACTATCAATGCTTACAGCCGACCCAGTTCGGTTACCTGTCCGCAGGGACCTTTTACGTTTAACTCACAATGGGGAGTTGCATCCTCTTCACGGGAAGAACCTATATCTAACAGGATGCAGGATATCAAGCAATCCTTCTCTAATAGAGGAATATCAAAGCAGTCTGCAGATATCATCCTTAATTCTTGGCGGCCATCTACCAACAGACAGTATGGGTTGGCCTGGAAAAGGTGGAATTTTTGGTGTTGTAAACAACAAATTAATCCATTGGATCCATCTGTAAAAATTTGTATAAATTTCTTGGGAGACATGTCTAAACAATTTTCTTATAGCATCATAAATATTATTAGATCTTCTGTAATTCAAACACTTGTAGCCTTGGGCAATTCTGTAATTAAAGATCAGCCGTTGGTTGGTCGATTCATGAAGTGATTATATGATAATGATCCACCTAAGCCTAGATATTTTTTTACTTGGGATGCTTCAATATTAGTAATATGCTTGGGTACGCTGTATCCATTGCAAGATTTATCTTTGAGGTTTCTGACGTATAAAACAATTGGTTTGTTGGATTTGGCTACAGCTCAGAGATGTCAAACTTTAACAGCCTTCTGTCTGAATGCTTTTCATGATTCAGGTTCTGTCATAACCTTGGGAGTGAATAAGGTTTTGAAAACTTCTCGTCCTTCAACACTGTTGTTTATGGTTAAAATTCCAAATTTTACAGATGTTAGAATATGTCCTTGTTTTACTTTGAGACATTATATTCGTACAACAGCAGAATGCCGCAAATCCAATCAGATTGTTATTTCCTTTCATACCAAGAAGGCTGTAGCCCCAGGTACTATTGCCAGGTGGCTAAAAGAATTGTTGAAGTTAGCAGGAATTGATACTTCCATTTTTAAAGCCCATTCAATTGGAGGGGCATCAACCTCTTCGGCATTTAATGCAGGTTGTTCTATTTCAGAGATTTTGAAGGCTGCGGACTGGAAGTCTACGGATACGTTTGCCAAATTTTACCACCGGGATGTGGAGAGTTTTTCAAACTGTGTTTTGGGGAATAAATAATTTTGGATTATTAATGTGTTATAGTTGTTATTTCCTTTGTTGACAACCCTTTAAACTATGCAATATAAATCTGAGATGCCCGAAGGGCATATCCAGGGTTTAGAACATAATTGTGATAAGTCACAATGCTTGATATATTGGCTTATCACAATTATGTTCTAAACCCTCGATATATGGAATATAATCCCCCTCTCATCCTAGCACCCGAAGGGCGTGATGGATGAGAAGGATTATATGAATATATAGCCTGAGGGCTCGAGGATTTATCTTTCTCTCCCTTGAGCCCTCCCTGTGCTATATTAGGTTGTCAACAAATCTTTGAAAAGACAATACGGGAAGTGTTGTGATCGTTTATATGGGGTGTGGTCACGTGTCATTTAGTGCATACACACACCGATGTAGTGAGC